ACATATGTGTGTACATAAAGACTATTGAGAGAGAGAGAGAGAGAGAGAGAGAGAGAGAGAGAGAGAGAGAGAGAGAGAGAGAGAGAGAGAGAGAGAGAGAGAGAGAGAGAGAGAGTAATACTCTTATACCCTATTTCCACATCCCGGAGGTGTCTATATATAGACTAACATGTGCAGCGCATTATCGGTTATTTTTGGAATAACTTAATATGATTATGTTGGTTTATTTCTCTATGGAGGTAAACTGCATCTAATATAGGACATAATGCAATTCCCCATCATTCATCTAAGACATAATACCCAGATAGAAAATAAAATATCTCTAGCCAAAAGACTAAGATCCACTTAGATAAAAGACCAAGAAACCAAAATACCCCTGGACAAAATACTAAGTGAAATATATCCCTGGACAAAACTCTAAGAGACCAAACAACCCCTGCCTAAAATACCAAGAGACCAAAACACCTCTAGACAAAATAACGAGACCAATATACCTCCGGACAAAGTTAGAGACCAAAATACCCTTAGAGAAACTACCATGAGACCAAAATACCGCTGGATATGCAGAGACAAAATGTTATTTATTTTTATTTTATGATTTTGACACCAGGACAGGCCAAAAAAAAAAAACATAATTCTGCCCTCATCGGGCCTGGGCACCATGAAAACATAAACTAAAGAGAAACAGAAATAGGGAGTGTTGTGACTTATAAGATTTTTTCTGATTTTGACACCAGGACAGGCAAATAAATAAATAAATAAATAAATCTACCCTCATCGGGCCTGGACACGAAGACCACAGAGAGAGAAACAGAGATGGGGAGTATTATGACCGGTCAGATGTGAAGGGATAATAAGAGATGTGTAAAGAATTTTCAAGAACATTCGGTATTGATGTAGGGAAGAACCGTAACTAAAGGAATACTTAACACAACTGTCCTGTGCAGTCCTATCTAAGTCCAAAAGACTCTTCAGCTGAAGTATCACAATGGGCGGCTGGAGCCATGGGCCAACTTACTAGATTTTTTTTAGGAGTGTGACACCAGGACGGGTCGGACCTTGGCGCGAAGAAAACAAAGTAAAGAGAAATAGAGATGGAGAGTGTTGTGACTAGTCAGATTTGTAGGGATAATAAGAGATATGTAACGAATATCCAAGAATATTCGCTGTAGATGTAGGCATAGAAGAAGATGGATAGTATTATCAAGTGAAAATTCTCTTAACTAAGATGACCAACAAGTATAGAAAAAGATGGCAATACATCGAATTCAGAAACCGTATGGGATGGAAGGTAATTACATAGTAAATTCTTGTGAGGAAATACCCCCTAAACGAAATACCGAGAAATCAAAATACTCCTGGACAAAATACCAAAGAACTAATACACTCCTAGACAAAATATCAAAAGACCAAAATCCCTCTGGACAAATTAGCAAGAGACAAAATGTAGTCTCCTGGCTAGTACAGTGGTAATGTGCTGGCCTTGCATTCGCGAGGTCGACGGATCGCGCCTCGTCCAGGCAAGAGAGTTTAAGCTGTTTACTGGGGAGGTTACTGCTGTGGTTGGTCACCACAGTGGGGGTTGGGGCCTGTTCCAGATGGCGACCGCCCTATGGGTCCTCCATGATCCATTCCACCCATCCGTGGGTGGAGAATCTAAAAAAAAAAAAAGTCTCTAGACTCATGGTTCTCAAGGTGGGGTGCAAGCCCCACAGGGGAGGCATTGTAATTTTTAAGGGGGGCAATTCGAGACTGTGCTATATACAGTGAATTCTTTTTCTACTGAGTCTGTGTGAGTGTGTGTACGAGTTAGTACATATGGTGCATATGCAGTATACATAAAAAAATATTTGTTTATATGTATGTACATATGCAATTAGTCTATAAAGTACTTTCCGCCTCCCTACGCTTGCGTGTATATGTCACAGGGGGAGGGCATCAGGATATTAGAGATGCTTAGGTGAGGCATGGCCCAAAAAAGATTTAGAACCACTGCACTAGACAAACCACCAAGAGACCTAAATACCCTTGGACTAAGTACCAAAATTCAATAATGACAAAGGACAATATATCAAGAAACAACACTATCCTAGACAAAATATCATGATGCTAAAATATCCCTGGACACTATACAATGAGACTAAAATAACCCCGGACAAAAGTCAGGCACAATACTCTTACAGATAAAACTTTACCTGAGAAAGACGAAACATAAATATGCCCATAGAAAAATACCTTTAGACAAAGACCAAATCCAAATATACCTAAAGATAAAAATAGTATTTTTGTACAAAACATCTATCTTAAAGACAAAAATACTCCTGACGAACACCAACACAAATATACTTACAGCAAAAATATTTACTAAAGAAAGACCCACATATCCCTCTAAAAAAAAAAATGCATTTGGACACAGACCAGACAGAAATATACATATAGATAAGAAAATATTACCTGAACAAAAAAAAAACTACCTAAGGACAACACTACTACTGGACACCGAGCAATCTCAACTATATTTTCAGAAAAAAAACATTCTGGACAAAGTAAAATATATCATTGGACAAAATACCCTCAGAAATATACCCCACAGGGTATTACCCTCACCATAAGCCTTTATGTCAACAATGACCCTGGGAAAAAATATACAAATACAAAAATAACCCTGGATTAAGACCAAACACAAGTATACCTATAGATAATAGTTTCTTTGGACAAATAACCCAGGACAAATATACCACATGATAATAATCAAGAGACAAAAATACCTTTGGGCAAAAAAAAAAAATATTTAGGTCAAAAATAATCCAGGACAAGAATATCCAAATACCAATTACCCCAGAACTAAGACCAGAGACATATATACCTATAGAACAGTTTCTCAAATAAAATACCCAGTTCAAGTATACATGTTAATAACCAAGAGACAAAAATACTCATGGGCAAAAAGACAGAGGTAAGAGAAAGAAAAAACATCAGACAAAATGCGGAACACAAAATATACCACTGGATAATAAATAAGTGGAAAAAAGACCCTTCAACCCAAAAAAATTATGGATAAAATATCCAGAGGCGTATATAACACTGAATAATTAATAAGAGAAAAATGCCGTCAGACAAAAGAAATAAAATAAAAAACATTACAGTCACTGATGAAAAATGCCCCTCAACATGAACTCAGGGGCAAATAATAACTTAAGACATAAACCTGCAATAAAACATACTTAGAGCAAGACAACCACACAGTAATACTCCTTTATAAAACATCCATCCACGGTGCAAATAACCTTTGACAAAAAAAAAAACCACAGACAATAACAGAATTGGAAATAACATCCCGAGTGCATATATATCATACTCAAAACATCCACAGACAATAATAACCATGAAAAAACATCCTGGATGCAATATATATCCTCAGAAAAACACTTAGAAAAGATAATCCTGTACAAAACATTCCAAACGACCCCAAAGCTGTAAACATTCATAAAATGAAAAAAGACAAACACCTTTGTATAAATCACCTAAGGAGCATATACACACTGTAGACATTTTCCAAAAAACCCATGGAAAACACACTCAAGGACGAAGATACCCCCAAAACCAAACAAGAGACCAAATACTTTGGACAAAATGCCAATTGTCCAAAATACCCTTGAATGAGTCACTTAAAATGAACATGCATTACGGAACAAAAATGCTTAACATACTGTATTATCACTTATTTGTGGAGACAAATATGTTTCCGTTAATTAAGAAGCTTTGTGGCAAATATTTGACCAAAAATATTTTCTTATGTATGGGCAATGGAAAAAAATAAATTCAGTTCTGATAAGAGAGAACTGCTTGAAAGGGGGAAGACAGCACCGCCAGTTAAGGGTTGATGGGAAGGGTATCTGAAAGTAAATTAAATACCATTATCATATATGAACAATATTTGGGAAATTTAAAACTAAAACAATGGAAAAAGTAGTATTTGAAGTCAGTATATGGCAAGGAAAAGTATTATATGTAATACTATGCAATATGTGGGGTCAGCAATGGAACAGAGTTGACTAAAAGAACATATTCATTTCTAAAAAATCCAACCAATAAAAGTATTATATATATATATATATATATATATATATATATATATATATATATATATATATATATATATATATATATATATATATTTATATAGTGTGTGTGTGTGTGTGTGTGTGTGTGTGTGTGTGTGTGTGTGTGTGTGTGTGTGTGTGTGTGTGAGGGTAAATAGACAGACACTTAGCTAGCTAGATGAAAACAAATAACTAAATAATTAAATAGATAATTATATAAAGCACGTAAATGAATAAATAAGATATGAAGAAATATGTAAATATGCATTAAAAAAATTAGATAAATCACGTAAACTAATCATAAACTACATACATGTATAAATAAGTAAGTAGATAAAAGAGCTAAATAAATAAAGAAAACAGCCATCAAAGAATGCATCATAATGTTACTAAGATGGAAAATAAAATATACTGCAATGTGTGTGTTTATATATATATATATATATATATATATATATATATATATATATATATATATATATATATATATATATATATATATATATATATACATATATATATATATATATATATATATATATATATATATATATATATATATATATATATATATATATATCAAATAAGCACATTACCATATGTGAAAACATGAATAATTTTTGCCCCGACCGGGACTTGAACCTAGGACACATAATTACTGTACCAAGGCGCGACCAGCTACACCACAGAAGGTCTAAAAGGGAAAGAAAGTTTACAGCTATAGCTGCTATACTAGGAATGAACGCATTCTATCTGAATGCCACTCTGTTCATATTACAGTTTCCCCCAACTTCACTCATGACTTCGTTTTCGCATTTAATTCAAATCTCAATCTCATTTGGCACCAGCAATAATCAAATAAGCACATTACCATATGTGAAAAAATGAATATTTTTTTACCCCGACCGGGACTTGAACCTAGGACACATAATTACTGTACCTTGGTGCTACCAACTACACCACCGAAGGTCTAAAAGAGAAAGATAATTTTAGCACCTTGGCGCTGTAATTATGTGTCTTAGGTTCAAGTCACGGTCGGAGTAAAAATTATTCATATATATATATATATATATATATATATATATATATATATATATATATATATATATATATGTGTGTGTGTGTGTGGTGTGTGTGTGTGTGTGTGTGTGTGTGTGTGTGTGTGTGTGTGTGTGTGTGTGTGTGTGTATACTCAGCATATACGTTTACACTTGCCTACTCCTATAACATATGCTAAATTTTTTTTTTTTTTTCAATAAATAAATATATTTGGAAGTGTACATGAGTCATCGTACGGTGTAAATTACATAGGCGCATATATATATATATATATATATATATATATATATATATATATATATATATATATATATATATATATAGAAAAGCATATTTATTTTGTCAGCTATTATATTTGGTAAGTCCAAACTCAAAGAAAAAATTGGCAACTAAAAACATTTACATCTTTTTATAATAATAATAATAATAATAATAATAATTAATAATAATAATAATAATAATAATAATAATAATATTCTAGTCACTGGGAAAGCAAGTCAACCCAACTTAATGCCGGTCCCAATTTCGGATTCATGGAAAGAGTTAAAGTACGGAAGTCAATCGAGCCGTACACTTATGAGCCAAATTCAACAGATAGTGAAGGAGCGACCCCATATAAAGATGACAAAGCTGTTGAGAAAGAAAGAAAGAAAGGAGTATATATATATATATATATATATAAATATATATATATATATATATATATATATATATATATATATATATATATATATATATATATATATCTGCAAATAAAAAATATTATTATAAGTATTTCTAGAAGTATAAATACATAAATAAATAAGTAACTGAAGGCTTTTGGACTTGAATAGGACAAGCCTGGACATCTCGATGTTAAGCCTTCCTTCAGGTACGGTTTACTGTGCCTACTTTCACACCGATTATTCTGGCGCATTCGTTATACATCTCTTGCTATCTCTTCACACCTGATAAGTCACAACACTTCCCAACTCTGTTTCTCTTACTTGTGTATATTTTGGTGCCCAGGACCGATGAGGACAATTTTCTTTGCTTGTCCTTGTGTCACACTCTTAATACAAAAATGAATAACTAAATAAGTAAATGAATAGATAAATGAATAAATAATTTGATTAATTAGCCGAGAACTTGAGCAGAGCTTGAAGAAATTAAGAACACAACTGCATAATCCTCTCTCTCTCTCTCTCTCTCTCTCTCTCTCTCTCTCTCTCTCTCTCTCTCTCTCTCTCTCTCTCTCTCTCTCTCTCTCTCTCATACACACATACATACATATACACAAATATAACACTGTGTGTTGTTGATGGAGAATATCATCGAAGATGTTCTGCCTGAAAGTATGGGCACTGAGAAGGACACGAGGAGGAACTATCCGAAAGGAGATTACAAGAAAATCAATTACCTTTTTGCAGTTATTGACCAGACAACCATATTTAACAAAAAAAATCCATACAAGAGATGTACGAAATCTTTTGTTAGGAATATGGAGAGACAGTTACTCACTGCATACATCCACCAAAATAGAAGTTATTCTTGCCGGGGAGAAATGGTTCAATAATGAGTGCAAGAGAGCTACGTAGTGAAATACAAATGGTAGAATAGGAATAGGAGGAGAAAAAGCATAAATACCTACCAGATTTACAAGTGAGCAAACAAACAAACAAACATTTATTTTCATTTTGTACAATGGTTATTCAACATTAATAGTAACTTATAAGTAGACATGTAATTAAACTAATAAATAAGAGGGTTAGACATATAGTTAAATTAAATGTAGCTTTCATAGAAAATAATAATGCTGTAATAAAAATGTTAACAATAATGTTAATAATAAAGTAGTAAGTATGCCACTAGATACAGGATCGTTATTATCGCATCATTTCCATATTTGTTTCCTTACAATGAGAATAATTAGTTCTTAATGAGCAGCAACTATTTGTCCAAAAGAAAACTATATAGTTTGCCTTTGAAAGCTGTGAAGGAGGATGCATTTTTAAGATGCTCTGGAATATTATTCCAGAGTGTTGGCCCTTTGATAGTGATCATCTTTGAACCTGCTCCTGTGTTTGTTCTGTGAATAAAGAGCTCACTGCTCTGTCTTGTGTTGGTTCCCCTTATATCCCTGACTGTTTTTAAATCAAATAGCCAGCTAGGATAATGATTACCTAAGTAAAAGAAGAGAAGCAATGAGATTATGAGAGGGATATTATCAGGAAGTCTAAAGAAAATCCCAACCTTTTCTATAGCTTTGTCAGAGGAAATATGAAGGTCAAAAACAACTTTTAACATTAAAGAGGGCAGATGGAAGTATCACTAAGTCCGATGAAAAGATCTGCGAAGAATTGAACAAGGAGTTTTAGTTAGTATTTACAATACAAATACTTCACCCACTCAGTTTGCAGAGATAAGAGATCATGGGCCGGTATTAGAGAACATCATATTTTCCGCTACAGAGGTATGCAAAGTGTTGATTGGGTTAGACGACCATAAAGCTATGGGTCCTGATGACATATCCCCTTATGTGCTTAAGAAGTGCATTGAGCCAATCTTAAAAGGGAAGGAGAGACTCACTTCTTCAAACTAGGCCTGTATCTTTAACCAGCATAGTTTGTAAAGTTATGGAGCATCTACCAAGGAAATGCATCTCTCTTCAATTGGAATCCTTCAACTTTTTGTTGTGAGACAACATAGTTTCAGAGTAGACAGATCTACAGTAACAATCTTATTAGAATAGAATAGATGAGGTAAGCCAGATCTTACAAGAGAGAGAGGGCTGGGCGGATTGCATATTCTTAGATTTTCAGAAGGTATACGATACGGTCCCACATGGGAGACTTATTAAGAAACTGCAAGTAAGGGCAAGAATGTAATGAATAAAAAACTTGCTTAGAAGGAAAGGAACAGAGGGTTAGAGTAAGATACTCAATGTCTGACTAGAGAAAGGTTACTAGTGGGGTTCCACAGGGCTCAGTTTTTGGGCCACTTTTGTTCTTTGTATTTGTAAATGACCTACTGGAGGCTGTAAATTCATTTCTGAACATGTTTGGAGGTGATGAAAGATTGCGAAGAAAGTAAAAGACAAGAACAATGGTAGAGAATTTCAGGAAGACTTAAATAATCTGCGTGAGTGGTCAAAAAAGTGGCTAATGAAATTCAATACTTCAAAATGTAATGTGATGAAAGTGGGTACAATTGCAAGAAGGACCAAGAAGGAGTACTCAATAGCAGGTGCAGAACTTCAAGAGACGGAGCATGAAAGATATATAGGAGTAAACATATGGGCAGATTTGTCTCCGGAAATGCAAATAAATGCCACAGCAAGGGCTGCATATGCTTTCTTAACGAATGTAAGGGTAGCCTTCAGATGCATGGACAAGGAAAAGTTCAGGAATATTTATATAACTTATGTGAGGCCAAAGCTTGAATATGCAGCTCCCTTTTGGAAACCGCACTTGCAAAAACTCATAAATAAAGAACTACAGATCATAGTCTGAAGCTTCATTTGAAACTTCTTTGCAGGATTTAAAGAGGTATTCTTTAGTGTATGAATAGTTAATGATTAAAGTTCGTTAAGCAAGGAAGTACTTGGTACTAAATGCATTCATAGTTTTAAGGACAAATATGGTAAGTATCATTGAGTATCAAAATGTAATTGACCAGGAGATGGGGAGCTACAAGCATATAGCTCTTTAGAGAGAGCACAATTAGGTAATTATGCAGACATACCTACAGTTGCATCACAACCTCGGAAATAGTAATCAATTATTATTAAACCATTTCTCCCCTGCAGAGGAACTTATTCCACAGCAACTAGTACAGTAGATCAAAACTCAATACATTACTGCATAGTACATCTAATTCACGTCATAACTATGCCTCCAGAGCAGAGTTTCTCAGTCCTAGGTTGCATTTCTGACATTTGTCATCACAGTTTTTTTTTATTATGCCAATAATAATGGCTATATGTGCAAGTAATCACTCCTTCTCATACACAAAAGCTCACTTTACTATATATATTTTTAATAATCCAATAAATACAAGGGTACATGTGCACGCAGGCACTCCCTCTGATACACAAATGTTCATTTATATGATACATATGAATAACTTTAAATCAACCAATCCCTTCCCATTTTGAAATACCACCTCAATATCTGAAAAATCCCAAATGGGACTAATTTTTTTTTTTTTTATTTGCGGAAGCTCTTATAACTGTGTATTATTGGTATTTAATTTGATATATAAATAGTGTAAAAAGGCATTTCATTCACGGTTGAAAGATTCTCCCAAGACTGATATTCCTTCCCATTTACCCTCAATTAACTAGAATTTCTCGTAAGGGAACCAACCAAGCGCCTCTAATTTGACAATCACTGAACGAACTGTTCCTTGGCTGGGAATATGACGTGGATAAGCCGTCTGAGAGAACAGGGTAGTGCGGTCCATGAAGAAGAGGAGGGCATGGTCTCCGTAGCCATAATGTAAGTGCAAAGAATGGTCTGATTAGTAATTCCCGCCAGAGAGCTAGGATATTTCAGCCAATTGGAATGTGCTGTCCCTTGGTTGTGAACACAAACTTGAAAGTACTTTCAAATTCCTTTCTAGTGGCTAGAATTTCCCCCCCCCCCAGACTTGTAATTCCGCCTCAGGGAGCCAAAAGCCTCCATCTGAGAATCACTGATCTAAAGACACCCTCTAACGACCTTGCTACAGTTAGCAGTTAACTGGCATTAATTGACTCCATTGGAGTGAAGGTTTAATTGATGTAACGTGTCCTTGTACATTTAACGAGAGCAGTTTTACAGTCATCTCCCAAAGGTGGGTGTGCACATGTGTTTGCTTGTTTTTCCCTCTTATATTAATGACAGTGAGGGGACCGCGATAGGGCAGTGGTTAGAAAACTCGATAATAATA